GACCGCCAGCGCCGAGATCCGCGCCGCGCCGGGCCGTGACCGGGCTCCGGCCGGGGACCGGACGCCCACGGGGAGCGACCCTACGCGGCCCGCCCGGTGCTGGGCGGAGGCTCCCGGCCTGACCCCTCCCCGGACCCACCTCCTACCTGTCACGGACTGATACCCGCCTTCGTTGGTCCCATCCAAACTTTGCACTGCTCGTGGCGGTGAAACATCAAAATAATGGTAATAAGCGCAACAACTTCGCAGGGTTCTCCGCTGCCCCCACGTTCCAGGGAGACAGGCGACACAGAGGTTCATCAAAGCAATATAATAGATCACAGTAGTATATTGTTATAGCAAGAACAGCAGTAATAGCCACTATACCCTAATTATAATAGCGATAATACCAACAATAGCGGCTAGTATTATTAAAATAGTAATAATAGCCATAATAACTGCCATATATGGAGCCTGGAAACCAGACTGCGTGCCAGGCTCTAGGCGCAGCATCAATATTGCCCAAACCTGAGTCCCTTGGATACACCTTCATTTTCTGCTGTATCTTTACCACCTTGACCATTATTTCCTGAATATTTATCTTTAAATGGACTCGCGTTTTAAACTTAAAATAATTTATTTGTTAAAAAACTGTATCACAAGCCACAGACTTGGAGAAAATATTTGCAAAAGACACATCTGAAAAAAGGACTGTTATTCAAAGTTTACAAAGAATTCTTAAAACTCAACACCCAGAAAACAAACGACTTAAAAATGGGTAAAACACCTAACAGACATCCCCCCGAAGATATACAGATCGCAAAAAAAACATGTGAAAAGATGCTCAACATCATATGTCATTAGGAAATTGCAAGTTAAAATGAGGTACCACTACTCACCTATTAGAATGGCCGAAATTTCCAAAACTTTCACAACACCAAATGCTGGTGAGGATATGGAGCCAAAGGAACTCGCATACATTGCGGGTGGGAATGCAAAATGGTACAGCCCCTTTGGAAGACAGTCTGGCAGTATCTTACAAAATTAAATACACTCTTACCATATGATCCAGCAATCATGCCCCTTGGTCTTTACCTAAATGAGTTATTTATCCAAATGAGCTGAAAACTCATGTCCATTCAAAAACCTGAACATGAACGTTTATAGCAGCTTTATTTATAATCGCCAAAACTTGGAAGCATTCAAGATGTCCTTCAGTAGGTGAATGTATAAACTGTGGTACGTCCAGACAATGGAATATTATTCAGCGCTAAAAAGAAATGAGCTATCAAACCATGAAAAGACATGAAAGAAATTTAAACACATGTTACTAAGTGAAAGAAACCAATCCGAAAAGTCTACATACTATATGATTCCAACTATATGACATTCTGGAAAAGCCAAGACCATAGAGACAGTAAAAAGATCAGTGGTTGCCAGAGTTAGGGAGGAAGGAGGGATGAATAGGCAGAGCACAGAGGAGCTTTAGGGTAGTGACCATTCTGTATGATACTCTAATGGTGGATACGTGTCATTACTCACTGTCAAAACCCACAGAATGTACAACACCAAGAGTGAACCTTAATATAAACTGTGGACTCTGGGTGATAATGATGTGGGTCCATGTGGGTTCATCATTGTAACCAATGTCGCACTCTGACGGGGGCTGTTGATAGTGGGGGAGGCTGATCGTGTGTGAGGGCAGGGGTATATGGGAACTCTCTGTGCTTTCTGCTCAATTTACTGTGAATCTAAAACTGCTCTAAAGAATAAAGTCTATTTAAAAAGAAAAGATATCACTACCATAAATGGAAAACCAGTAATACTTTTCATAAATAAAAGAAGAATGGAAGGGCAGAAAGACAGAGACTGTGCAAAGATACTGTAAGTGAGCCAAATCCTCATGTACTGGAGGCAAAATCAATAGAGGGGCCGGCCCGTGGCTTAGCAGTTAAGTGCACGCTCCGCTGCTGGCGGCCCGGGTTCGGATCCCGGGCGCTCACCAATGCACCACTTCTCCGGCCATGCTGAGGCCGCGTCCCACATACAGCAACTAGAAGGATGTGCAGCTATGACATACAACTATCTACTGGGGCTTTGGGGGAAAAAAGAGAAAAAAAAATCAATAGAGAATGTCTAAAGCTGATAAATCAACGATTGGTCACATAAGTATATAATTTAGCTCTATGGAAATAACAACTAGAAGAAATAGCTACAAAGGCTAGAAGCGGTTACCATGCCAACTAAGCATATGAAGACATTCAGCCTCCTAATAAGACGTTCCAAATGTAAAAGTACAGAGATACCATCCTTACCAATTAGATAGCGAAGATCAAAAAGGTTGATTTTTGTTTGAAGAGAATTGGGGAGGGTGTGGAGAAAGGGACAAGGGTATGAAGTTGGGGGACAAGTACGTTAGTACAATCTCTTCGGAGGACACTTTGTCGATATCAAAATTACAAAAGTACATACCTTTTGACTCCGAATCCTTACAGGTAGAGGCATGCATGTGCAGAAAGACGTAAGCACAAGGTTCTTTGCTGCTTCACTGTAATATCAAAAAGTTGGCATCAACCTCAATGTCCCTCAGTAGGAGCTGGTTAAATCAACTACAATCCATCCTTACAATGAGATATTGTGCAGCCTCCTAAAATAATAAAGCAGTTGTGTAGGTACTGATATGGAAGATCTTCGAGATGCATTGTTAGGTGAAAAAGGAAGGTGCATAATGTGTCTGTAGCAAGTTACCATTTCTGTTTTATGTTTCAAGGATCTTTATATTATATGCTGATATATGCTTAGCATTTCTCTGGAAGGAGATGTAATAAATTGGTAAGAGTGGTTGCCTTTGAGGAGAGGAGCTGGGTGGTACCTTTGAAATTTTTACCTCATGCCCGTATTACCTATTCAAATAAATCTGAAAACAAAAGTTAAGTGATTGCCTGTAGAGAATTGAATAGGGGGTAGGAAGGGTGGGGCGGAACAGTGGCTTTTAATTACATGTATATAACAAAACGTATGTTATATATGTAATATATCCTATATGTATATGTATAAAATATTAGTTGACAAATGTTTTAACTGCCAAGAAAGAGGAAAGAAGAAAGGAAAGACGGAGACAGAGGTGGTCTCTTTTTTTTTTTTGTGAGGAGATCAGCCCTGTGCTAACATCTGCCAATCCTCCTCTTTTTTTTTTTTTTGGTTTTTTTGCTGAGGAAGACTGGCCCTGGGCTAACATTCGTGCCCATCTCCCTCCACTTTGTACGGGATGCCGACACCGCCACAGCATGGCTTAACAAGCGGTGCGTCGGTGCGCACCCGGGTTCCGAACCTGCGAACCCCAGGCCGCCCCAGCGGAGCACACGCACTTAACCGCCTGCACCACCAGGCTGGCCCCGAGGCAGTCTCTTTTGATGTAAGGGTCAAGTGGGGACAGGCAGCCACTCCCGACCACAGCATGTCCCTGAGCAGTCTCCCATGCCAAGGACCAGCAGCTTCCTGTAGTTTCCAGCCTCTTTGATCTGGTTTCTCTGTGTCCTGCCAGGTTTGAAATATCCAAGTAGTTGGTGACCCAGTTCCCAGAAAATCTCCCTTGCTGTCGTTTTGGAAGCGCCCTGGGGGCTGTGGGGCTCTTGGCAGATGCCACATCTCTGGGCACAAGGAGAAGTTTATTCTCCTCTTAGCAGGGAGAGAGGGACCCGTCAGGTAGTAGACAGCTGTCCAGCTGAGGTGACGCACCCCTCTCTCCACAGGTCTGGGCTGCAGGGCGCTGTGCTCTGGGTGGGGCTGGGGGGCTGGTCAGTCTCCCTTCACTGTTCACATCTGTCTCATTATCTACTGCTGCATAATGAACCATCTCAGAACTTAGAGGCTTAAAGCAACGATTTATTATTATCCCTCATAGTCCTGGGGGTTGATTGGGCTCAGCTGGGTGGTTCTTGCTTGGGTCTCCCACGCAGTTGCAGTCAGAAAGGAACTGCTGCTGGGCCGGCCCCGTGGCGCGAGTTCGGATCCCGGGCGCGCACCAACGCACCGCTTCTCCGGCCATGCTGAGGCCGCGCCCCACATACCGCAACTAGAAGGATGTGCAACCATGACATACAACTGTCCACTGGAGCTTTGGGGGGAAAAATTAATTAATTAATTTAAAAAAACAGAAAAAAGAGAAAACAGCTGCTGCTGAAGTCACCTCAAGGCTTGGCTGGGCTGGACGTCCACATGGCTTCTTCACTCACCTGTCTGCTGCCTTAACTGAGATGCCTGGAACAACTGGGGACTAGCTGGCCGTCTTTTTCTCTCCACACGGTCTTTCCACATGGCTAGTTGGGCTTCCTCACATCATGGCAGCTCAGAGTCGTTAAACTTCTTTGATGGCAACTGGCTTATCCCAGAGCAGCATTCTAAAAGCCAAGCCGGAAGCCGCAGAGCTTCTTAGGACTAGTCTCAGCAGTCAGGCACGTCACTTCTGCTACGTCCTCGGTTACACAGGGCCAGGCCGGAATGAAAGTGGGAGGGGCCGCACAAGAGCGTGAGTAGCAGAGTGTGTGGTTCTTAACGGGCCGTCTTTGGAGGCCAGCCACCACAATGCTGTATGCCATTCAACACTTTCTTCTCTTAGTTCTCCTCCTACCTCACCAGCCAGGCCTTCTTAGGCTCTTTGAGTGGTGTTTCCTCATCTTCCGGCTGCAGATTAATTGAGCATCCCCAAACTCAGACCTGGGCCTCTTCTCTGTCTACACTCTCCCGCTTAGTGGTCTCTTCTGGTTTCATGGCTCTACGCACCTATAAGCTGACAACTCCCAAATTTACATCTCCAGCCCAGACCTCTCCTCTGAAGTCTAGACTCCAGTCTCCACTGCCTACTTGACATTTCGCTTGGATGTCTCACAGGGACCTCAATGTGAGCAGCTCTAAAACCACCTTCCACCCCCTGCTCCCAGACGCTCCACAAAAGGATATATGCGAATCACCAATAATTGCACATAAAAAGATGCTCAGTATCATTAGTCATTAGGAAAATGTAAGTTAAAATCATGAGATACCACGACACACCCATTAGAATGTCTAAAATTAGAAAGACTGATCATAACAAGTGTTGGCAAGGATATGGAGCACATGGAACTCTCATACACTGCTGGGGGAATGCAAAATGTGGTAAATCACTGTAGAGAACAGTCTGGTAATTTCTTGTAAAGTTAAACATGTATCTACAATATGACACAACCCAACCATTCCACTCCTGGGCATTTACCCAAGAGAAACTAAAACATTTGTCCACACAAAGACTCGTACACAAATGTTCAGAGCAGCTTTATTTGTAATCACCAAAAACTGGAAACAACCTAAAAAGTCCATCAAGAGATGAATGGATAAACAAATCATGGTATATCCATACAATGGAATACTACTCAGCAATAAAAAGGAACAAATTATTGATACCTGCAACATGGCTGGATCTCAAAATCATTATGCTGAGTAAAAGAAGCCAACCCTCACCATCCAAAAAATGAGTACATGCTTTATGACTCCATTTATATAAATTCTAGAAAATGCAAACTAATTTATAGTGATAGAAGTAAGTCAGCGGTGGAGGGGAGGTGGGGAGGTGACTGCAAAAGGGCACAAGGATGGCTGATGGATTTGGGGGGTGATAGATATGTTTACTGTCTTAATTGTGGTGAAGGTTTCATGGGTGTATACATATGTCAAAACTAATCAAATTATATACTTTCAATATATGCCATATAGTGTACTGCAGTTACACCTCAATAAAGTTGGAAAAAATCGAATCAAAAGAAAAAAACAAAGAACGAAAAAAAGGTATATGTTTGGAAGAATACACACCAAACAGTTAACAAGAGTGACCTTCAGGGAGTGGGAAGGGGGCCAAGAACTAACACTTGCTACCTTACATGCAGCTTTCCAGTTTAAATTGTTTACAACAAGTATATATTACTATGAGTTTAAGAAAAAGAGCAATACATTTTTTGCTCCCAAGCCTCAGGAGGTCTGTCACATACCCCAGAACGGACCAGGTCGTTCTGCCAAACCAAAACACCTCCTGGATTTGAGCCAAGGGTTTCTGGGGGCAAATTCCCATCTGGAGACAATGAAAAATGTGCTCCCTCAGAACAGAGACTTTATTTACACCTTATATCTACATCCCGGACTGGGCCCCGCACGGGACGATTGCCCAGGAAGATAATGGAGTCATTAATCTCTGCCCAAGACTGGGTTCTGCCTGCCAGCTCCCATCTGGGTAATTAAACCAGCTGACAGCCCCATGTCAGTCTCCATGGCGTTTGCGGGGCAGAGGGACAGGGCACCTCTGGACACTGTACTTGGCTTCTCCAGCGGAGCAGGTTCCTGGGTGACTTTAGGACAAGCGAGCTCAACCCCGGTCTTGACTTGGCCAGGCCCAGGACTCAGGCTAACATGGGCCTCTTGGCAAGTCAGTGGGTGGGAACAGCTGTCTGAGCTTCTGCATTTATCTTTGGTTGCCCATATGTGCGCTTCTTTTTCTCCTAACCTCACCCTAAACATTGGTTCCTTGAACCCCACAGTAGCTGGCTTCCACACAGCTAGTCTACCTCTTCCCCAACTTTTTTCCCTCCTCAATAACAGCACCAAGATACTTCGGGGCAGTGCCGCCTCGCCCTGCCTCCAGACCCAGAAGATAAATCTTGATTCGGCTTGGCCCTCACTACTCAGAGCATGATCCAGCATCAGCACCACCTGGGAGCTTAGAAATGCAGAATCCCAGGCCCCATCCCAGACTTACGGAACCAGAATCTTCATTTTAACAAGATCTCCGGTGATTTGAACACGTTAGTTCTCAACCCTGGCTAAACATTAGAAGCACCTGGAGAGAGTTTTAATGATACCAATGCCTGGGACCGTCACTGAGATTTGGAGGGCATTTCCTTATAAGGCTCGCAGGTCCTATTTTCCAGGGTGAGGTGAGGAGCTAGCGAAAGCTGAGTTGGAGGATTGTGACTGGTGTATGTCAGGTTTCCCTGACAGAGGTTTCCCGTAAGTCCAGGCTGACTTAGGTTTAGATTTGTGACATGGGCGGGGCCCCTGGGGCGGCCTCCATTTTGTGGGTCCTGATATAGGAATTAACTGTGCCACAAGAAAAGCAGAATCTCGGACCCCACCGCAGACCTACTGAACCAGGACCTGCATTTTAACAAGATGCCCACATTAAGTGCTGAGAAGCACTGCTTTGAACTATACACCAGCACATATGCTTTAGATTTTCTGGGCCTTTCTGTGGGCTGCCTCCCCCGACTAATAGCTGCATGACATCATGTTATTATTAATAATCATATGAAAAGATGCCATGGGCACTGCGTACAGACCCCTGGCCAAGTTTCCCTTGCTCTCGTTGGTCAGAACTAGGTTGCAGGCCTTAGTGCATAGGAGGCTGCAAAGGTGGCTTTGTCTGCCTCTATTGTGGGAGACAGTTTCTGCCAGCAGGGAGGGTGGGAAAAATGGCTATTAGGTACGAACCAGCAGTGTTGACCACAAATAAATATGAATGACCTTTTTAGAGGTTGGACAGGCTCAGAGGTGTAAAGTCACTTGCCTAAGGTCACGTGGCTAGAAAGTACTTGCCACTTTGCAGAAAACTGATTTTTTTTTTTTTTTTTTTTTGCTGAAGAAGATTTGCCCTGAGCTAACATCTGTTGCCAATCTTCTTCTGTTTTGTATGTGAGCCCCTGGCACAGCGTGGCCACTGATAGACAAGTGGTGTATTTTTGTGCCGGGGAACTGAACCCAGGCTACTGAAGCGGAACACACCAAACTTAACCACTAGGCCACCAGGGCTGGCCCGGAAACTGATAAATTTTTATAAATGAGGGTGCCTGAGTCAGTTTGTGCCTAAGCTGGGCCTTGAACCCAAATCCCCTGATGTCCAACACAGCGATCTAGCCACTTCCTCAAGCTACCTTCCTCTTGCCCTTTGGGTGTGTTTATATCTTAAATAATAGGTCTTTTAAGGACAGAGCTAACTCAGTGGACAACAGGTATCTACGCGACTTCCTTTATGGCTAGCCACAGCAGAGAGAAGAGATAGATGCCTGATAAAACTGGAATTTTTCCAGTTGCTTTTGGACACCACCCAATCTAAAATACATGTGGCACCCTTAGACACACAGAAAAATGTTATTTTCATCATTTCCTGCCAAATGTCTAGCTGGTTCCACTGGTAAATTATGTTCGGAGTGGAGCCAGGTGCCTGACTGTCTCTGGATGGTTAACTTCCCGGCTCAGTCTTCTTCCCTGGCAGAGAGTCTGGGAAATTGGAGCCCCCTGAGGCAGAGGTGAGGAAAATCCCTCCCAAGCAAATAAAAACACATTAAGTGTTTGTGGAGAAATGTCTGGAGTTTAAAATTTTTACTCCACCTTAATGTGAGTCCAGGCCTGATAAGTGCTGGTATAACTGATGTTAGTTCTGTGTGTCTAGGGCCCAAGTTCCATCATGGACAGGTTTATCAGCAGCTGAAGTAGAATATTGGACACAATTCTGGGTAGCTTCACCAAGCTCATTCCCATCTCAGAGCCTTTGAACTTTCTGTTCCTTCTTCCAAAATGCTTTTCCCTTTCAGATTTTCTCATGCCCAGCTCCTTTTCATCCTTTGGGTCTTGACTCACATGTCACATCCTCAGAGAGGCCCTCCTTGAATATTGTATCCAAAGTAACCCTCCAGTCATTTTCTTTCCCATCCCTCTATTTTATTTCCGTTATAGCACTTACTACTGTCTGACATTATCTTCTCTCTGCCTACTTGTTTCTTGACTCTCTCTCCAACTGGAATGAAAGATTTATGAGATCAGAAGCCACATATTTCCTGGCTCTGTCTGCTGAGGGGTCTAGAAGCAATGAGCACACCTAGTGCACATCATCTTGGTTTCTCCAATGAAAGGAACCAGGGCTCCTTGGAGAAATGCCTGATTCCAGAGCTGGAATAAGGAAACTGTAAATGATCCAGTTAACATCAACACTAACAGGACAAATTGACGTCATGTGCCTCCTGATACTCTAGTGAGAAGGACACAATATTTACCTAAATGGAGGAACATTTCACAAAATAACTGGCCAGTACTCTTTAAAAATGTCAAGGTCATGAAAGACAAAGACTGAGGAACTGTTCCAAATTCAAAAGAGTCTAAGGAAAGAGGACAAGGAAATGCAACACGTGATCTTGGATTGGATTTTGGACCAGAAAAAGGATATTAGTAGGAAAACTGGCAAAAGTTGCATGAGGTCTACAGAATAGATCAGTGGTTCTTACAGTGTGGTGCTTAAGACCTTTCCAGGGGGTCTTCAAGGTCAAAACTGTTTTCATAATGATAGTAAGATGTGATTTACTGTTTTCACTGTGTAGACATTTGCACTAAAGGTGCAAAAGCAATGGTGGGTAAAACTGCAGGCTCCTTAGCATGAGTCGAGGCAGTGGCACCAAATTGACTCCACTCACGATCATTGTACTCTTCACCCTACACACCCACCGTAAAAAAAAAAAAAGAAAAGAAAACCAGTTTCACTTTAGGAATGTCCTTAACGAAGCAGTAAAAATTACTAATTTTATTAATTCAACCTTTGAGTAAATGTATCTTTTAAATGATGTGTGAAAAAGTGGAACGTGTGTATAAAGCACTTCAACTGCATATCAAAGTATGATGACTGCCTCGGGGAAAAGCACTTGTGTGACTGAGCTGTAAGTTGTCCTAGCTGACTTCATGGAACACCATTTTTACTTGAAATAATGACAGACAAATCACGGTTATTCAGATTTACATATTTGGCAGATATTTTCTCTGTCACAAGACAATGTTCCTTAAATGTCAGTGTGTTCATTGCAGCCGAGTCAAATCAATCCATTTCTGCTTGAACTCCACCATACTTGGCCTGTGATACCCATCAATCTCTGGGTGCTCTGCCAGTTTCCAGCTGAGGAAATGAGGCTCAGAGAGGTAAAGTGACTTATCCAGAGTCACACAGCTAGAAAATGGTTGACTTTACACTCCCAGTAGCACTGATCTGTCGAGATCACCATGCACTGCTATTTAGAGATTCAGGATGAAAAATCGTTTAAATAATCCAGTGCTCCTGTAGGGATGGTTTTCTTGAGCATCTCCTTTGGGTTAAGCGCGTCTTCCCCAGGATCTGTTTTCTTCTGCATCAAGAGATTATTTAAGAGATTAACATGGTGTGGGATTTGGCATCAGATAAAAGTTGTTGCTTGGAAAAATAATATCAGGCTGAGCACTTTTCTCCAGCCTCAGCTGAAGTCCACCAACTGGCCAGCTTTTCTGGTAATAATCAGAAAATTTGGAGATTTTTCACTAGAGAGGACTTCTCAGCCTAGGTCTGCATTTGCTTAATTAGAGACTCAGCATATTGAAGAAGATGATTTGAAAGGGAGAAGGGAGGAAGGAAACGAAAAACCACAATTATTTTTAAATGGATCTAAAAAGAGAGAGAGGGAGAGAACTCAATTCTTCTACTTTTTCCAGATTCAAAAAAAAAAAAAATGCCCTCGGGGCATCACCCCAGGGTTAAATTAAATAAGCATGCCATTAAGTTGCCAACTCCGCTCACTCTCCTATTTTGCCGATATCTTCACGGGCATTAAGAATTTGTCCATTTGACAGATCTTTAGTGAGCATCTTTACTAAGCTTTCATGCCAGACATTTCCACACTTAATCTTTGCAGCAACTGAGTGAGGCATCACTACAAGTTCCATTTTACAGGTAAGGAAACGAGGCGAGGAACGATTGCATGATTTTCCAAGGTCATACAGCTGGAAAGTGATAGATCCCAGGATGCCAAGCCACGTGGAATTTGCATATGTGGTGGGGGGGGACTAATTCTAACACACACTTATACTTTCCCTTTGTAGCAACACTCTAGCTCCCATGGGAGCCATGGCATTTCCTGTGACTTTTCCTAGCTGGAAAATCTGAATAGAGAGTCGTTTTATATTTTAATATTAATTCTGTTTTCTTTTCTAAATTTTACTTATTTTTCATAATAGCTATGTATTATTTTTATATTCTGAAACATTAAGTATTTTTATGTCCTTCCTGACTGCAAGAATCATCTTTTTTTAAGATGATATGAAAAGTTTTATTTATATCTTCCAAATTTTGCCTGAAAGCTATTTTTTCTTAAAATGAAAGCTTTCTTTGAAAATGATATAGTCTAATGATAAGTCCATCCCCAGCGTTGCCGGAAGAGAGTTCTTCACTGTTCCCTGATGAGAAAGGACCCTGGGCCAAGTGTCAGGAGAAACTCACTGTGTGTCCTTGGACAAGTCAAGGTCTCTCTCTGGGATGCAGTTTCCTCGTCTGTACAATGGGGGTAGAGAAGGGAAACTAAATGTTTCCAACAGCTCTCACATCTCTGACAGCTGTTGGCTATAAGTTACCAAATGTGCCTTAAGAAACAGGTGATGCGAATACTTTTTTTCCATAAGAGTCATAAGCTAGTTGATACATAAAAGTAAAAACCAGAGGGGACCAGCTCTAAGGTGAACTCTTTTACCCCCATGTGTGTTGTGGAAAGTTACCTTTTATATTAACACTGTGGCTGGTATGCTCCTTCCATATTACCAGAGTTTATTGTCGCCTTTAAACATTTTTAAATTGCAGTAAGATACACATAACATAAAATATACCATCTTAACTATTTTTAAATGTATAGTTTAGTAGTGTTAAGTTGCACAACCAATCTCCAGAACTTTCTCATCTTGCAAAACTGAAACTCTTTACCATTAAAAAACTCCCCATTTTCCCCTCCCCCCAGCCCCTGGCAACCACCCTTCTACTTTCCATCTCTATGAGTTTGACTACTCTAGGTACCTCATATAAGTGGAATTATACACTATTTGTCTTTTTTGTGACTGGCTTATTTCAAGGATAATGTCTTCAAGTTCATCCATGTTGTAGCACGTGTCAGAATTTCCTTCCTTTTTAAGGTTGAATAATATTCTGTTGTATGCATATACCACATTTTGCTTAATCCATTCGTCTGTTGATGGACATTAAGATTGCCTCCACCTTGTGGCTGTTGTGAATAATGATGCTATGAACATGGGTATATAGCTATCTCTTTGAGACCCTGCTTTCAATTCTCTTGGGTATATACCCAGAAATGGAATTGCTGGATCTTATGGTAGTTCTATTTGTAATTTTTTGAGAAAATGTCATACCATTTTCCACAGCATCTAAACCATTTTACATCCTACAAACAGTGTACAAGGGTTCTAATTTCTCCACATCCTCACCAACACTTGTTATTTCTGCTTTTTTGATGGTAGCCATCCTAATGGGTGTGAGGTGATATCTCACTGTGATTTTTATTTGCATTTCTCTAGTGATTAGTGATGGTGATTATCTCTTTATGTGCTTTTTGGTCACTTGTATATCTTTTTTGTAGAAATGTCTGTTCAAGTAATTTGCCTATTTTCTAATCAGATTATTTGTTTTTTGTTGTTGAGTTATAGGAGTTCTTTATATATTCCAGATATCAACCCCTTATCAGATATATAATTTGCAAATATTTTCTCCCACGCCATAGGTTGCCTTTTCACTTCATTGATTGTGTCCTTTGGTGCACAGAAGTTTTCAATATTTATATAGTCCAATTTATCTATTTTTACTTTTGTTGTCTAAGAATTATCTTTTATTCCATCTTGTTTTTTAATTATAAGTAACACAACATTGAAGAAAGTTAGAAAATACAGAAGATATATAGATGGCAAATAAGCATATGAAGACATGCTCCACATCACATGTCATCAGGGAAATGCAAATTAAAATAATGAGCTACCACTATATCCCTACTAGAATGGCCAGAATCTGGAACACTGACAACACCAAATGCTGGTGAGGACGTGGAGCAACAGGAACTCTCATTCATCGCTGGTGGGAATGCAGAATGGTACAGCCACTGTGGAAGACAGTTTGACAGTTTCTTACAAAACTAAATACACTCTTACCACATGAGCCAGCAGTCATGCCCCTTAGTATTTATCCAAAGGAGGTGAAAACTTATGCCCACACAAAACATGCACATGGATATTTATAGTAGCTTTATTCATAATTGCCAAGTTTGGAAGCACCCAGATATCCTTGAGTAGATGAATGGATAAATAAAGTGTGGTGCCTCCAGACAATGGAATATTATTCAGCACTAAAAAGAAATGAACTACCAAGTCATGAAAAGACATGCAGGGACTTTAAATGTATATCACTAAGTCAAAGAAGCCAATCTGAAAATGCTACTGTGTGATACTAACTACATGTATGTAACATACTATGTAATTCTAATTATATGACATTCTGGAAAAGGTGAAAATATGGAGACAATAAAAAGATCAGTGGTTGCCAGGGGTGGGAGGAGAGATGAATAGGTAGAACACAGAGGATTTTGAGTGAAAATACTCTGTATGATATTATAATGATGGATATATGTCATACTTTTGTCCAAACCCATAGAACGTACAACACCAAGAGTGAGCTCTAAGGTAAACTATAGACTTTGGGTGATTATGTGGTGTCAATGTAGATTCATCCTTGGTAAAAAATGGACTATTCTGGTGAGTGATGTTGATAACTGGGGAGGCTACAGATGTGAGGGGAGAGGGAGTATATGGGAAATCTCTACTTTCCTCTCAATTTATTATAAACCTAAAACCGCTCTAAAAAACTAAAGTCTTTTTTAAAATAGCCAAATATAATATATATAATATATATAAACACATAAGAAAAATATAAACAATAAAGATTAACACTGGAGTCTCTGAGTTATGTGAATATAGTGTTTTATTTATTTTTGTTTTTCTATATTTCTGACAGCCAGCCCTGGTGGTCTAGTGGTTAAGATTCGGTGCTCTCACCACTGCGGCTGGGTTCATTTTCCGGTCAGGGAACCACACTACCCGTCTGTCAGTTGTCATACTGTGGCAGCTGCGTGTTGCTGTGATGCTGAAAGCTATGCCATTGGTATTTCAAATACCCACAGGATCACCCATGGTGGACAGGTTTCAGCAGAGCTTCCAGACTAAGACAGATAAGGCAGAAGGACCTGGCCACCCACTTCCGAAAACATTGGCCATGAAAACACTGTGACTAGCAGCGAAGCATTGTCTGATAGAGCACCGGAAAGGAAGAGGATGGCACAAAAAGACCGGCAGGGCTCTGCTCTGCTGTACACAGGGTCACCAGGAGTCGGAATCGACTCCATGGCACTAACAACAACAAATATTTCTGACTTTCTACAATGCACTTATCCTTCTTTGGTAATAATGAAAGTTTTTCTTTAAACTTTTTATTTTGAAATAATTATAGACTCACAGGAAGCTGCAAAATAGTACATAGAACACCATGTACCCTTCACCCAGCTTCCCCTAAGAGTAACATCCTGTATAATTGTAGTACAATATAAAAACCAGAGAATTGACTTTGGTACAATACTGCT